TAATAGCCCACTTTAACTGGGGGCACAGAGCTGCTCTCCTGCGGGAACATCAAGGCTCACAGAAAATTGCAAGTGACAGCTTGTTAAACAAAGCGGAGGCCCAGAGCACTGTGACTGCAATGCCCAGGGTTTGGATTGCACATTCAAAATGAGTTTTGCTGCTCTTCCCGTCTGACCACCCCAGAGCAGAGCGCACACACAGGTGCAGGGATTTCACCAAGGAAGGTTGGTCTTTTATCTTGCAGGAATGTTGCAAGCAAGTCAGACTTGTAAGCCACCTTGGTGTGGGAAGGTGCCCTCTTTTCCTTCTTGGTTGGTGGGCACAAGTTAATTATCACAGTCATTTTTTACACAACATATCAAAACAGAGGAATTGGGTCTCCTGCAATTCAGCACAACCCCCAAAAGACCAAACACAAAAAGAACAAAATCAACCATTCCAATCTAGCAATTCCATGGATTCCCACCACCTAGATAAAAGTCCGTTTCAGCACAAATGGTGCAGGAGTCTCAGCTGGTTAGCTAATTTCTGTATTGCCAGCTGCATCTGGAATCTCAGCAGCTTGACAAGAGACACGGATCTGGGATAGTTTACGAGATTACTTCTGCCATATTCTTTGTCTGGATTTCAGTTTCTTTAGGAGTCATGTATTTGTTAAGCAGTTTGCGAGAACCACCCAGGATTCCCATTAACCAAGGAGAAGGGACATGTTACATACACACACCTGGGGCGTATGATAATCTGACTTGTGTTGCCACTTGCTTCTCTCTCACTAGAGGAGGATGGATCTTGCAGAATAGTTGCTGTCCTAGCTTTGTCTTAGTCTCATCCTGTAGGACATAATAGCTCAGGATACAGATTCTGAGAGCACCTGTCTCCCGACCGCCCTCTGCTCGGAGACCTTTGTGGGAGCTCCTCTAGTGCAGTGGTTCTCAACCAGGGGGACACATACCCCTGGGGGTACAAAGAGGTCTTCTAGGGGGTACATCAACTCATCCAGATATTTGCCTCGCTTTACAACAGGCCACATAATAAGCACTAGCGAAGTCAGTACAAACTAAAGTTTCATACAGACAATGACGTTTATACTGCTCTATATACTGTACGCTGAAAAGTACAACATTTATACTCCAGTTGATTTATTGTATAATTATATGGTAAAAATGAGAAAGTCAGCCATTGTTCAGTACTAGTGTGCTTGGGACACTTTTGTATTTTTATGTCTGATTTTGTAAGCAAGATGCTTTTAAGTGAGGTGAAACTTGGGGGTACACAAGACAAATCAGACACTGAAAGGGGTACAGTCATCTGGAAAGGTTGAGAGCCCCTGCTTTAGAGAAACTTCTCTCTGTTTCTCATCCCTCTCAGCCAACAGATTCACCCAGTCCCTGTGTCTAATACACTCTGGTTCTGGAAACTTGCAAATCAGCCCTCTTGTCCTTCCCCACTTGTCAGCTGTGACCAGTGTTGGCTTCCCACCTGTGGATAAGTCAAAGCAACACGGAAACACATTCTGCCTGCTTGCTGCCAAACCAGGAAAGAGTCTTTTTCCAATGGCAGCAAGAATCTGTCAGACAGTGACCTGTGAGTGGCTCAAACACACCTTCCTCCCACCCTCGCCTCTCCGAGAGCTCCCCTAACAAGCTCTCCTGCAGCCACAGCATTTCCCTGGGGGCTAATCTGACTTTTTCTACTTTTGAATCAAGCCATCTGACTGCCTGACATGGACCTACGGGGTTAACATGAGCTCAGGCACTAAAAGCTTTTTACCAAGCTAGGACCCTCCACTGGTCAGAAGAGGTCTCCTGTACGGAAGGATGGGTCCATGTTGGCCTTGCACAGTCACAGAAATGACTGAGTGAGGAAAGGAAAAGCAGCTACGTGAGCAAAAACATTTGATCAAACAGTGGGGAAATTATTCATAACAAGATCAAAGTTTAATCTCTCAAGATTAAATTGTTGGCCAATTCCTATGGAGAGGGACATGGAGATGGCTCATCTCCATTAACTGTGGCTGGGGAATGGATTTTCATGCAAATTAACAACAACAGAGGGAGAGACAAGGACACAACAAGCCATCGCTGGCTTGCCTTGAGGAGGTTTAAATCATGGAGAGGGACCTGCAGAAATATAACGGGATTGGAGCAATGAGAACAAGCCCCTCTCCACCAGGGAAGGGCTCTGGCATGCAGACAGAAAGGCTCCTCAGTTCTGCTCAGGTCAGGAAATTAAAGGTGTGAGCCCCTAGGGAGAAGGAAGACATTTACAATGGGAAATTGTGCCCTGAAACGTGGCCTGGAGAAAACAATGTAACCAATAATTCTAACGCTCTCCTAGTCCTATGGGACAGCCAGCTGCTGAATCACTCTCTGTTAAGGAGTTTAACGTGGCTGGGTTGCAAGAACTGAAGATACTTTTGTGATCCATAAATTCAGACTGTAACTTAATCATGCAATGGACTCTCAGCTCCATGGAGCTCAGAACCTCACCGTCAGAATAGCCTTGTGTAGCTTTGAAATAGCACAGTACAAGGAGAGCTAAGGGCTCTGCAGACAGAGCTGGATTAACTCTCCTGTGGGCCCAGGGCTATTAGATTATGTGGGGCCCCTGTCTACAAGTCTTTTTCCGAATTTAAAACAAAATGATCACAATTGTGGCATTGAGGCTATTAACGCTATACTAAACTTGCCTTTTAATTAACATAAAGCCATTCTGTGGTTACATTTCAGTCTTAAAACATGTAGAATATAGTTAAGTTAATGCAAAATAGCCTACGTCTTACCTTAGAACAGCTGTTATATTAGTTTCTTTTTGGAAGGGAGTTTGGTGCAGGAGGGATTCTGACCTGGTGCAGGGGGTTGGGGTGCAGGAGGGAGTGCGGGGTCTGGAGGGAGTTTGGATCTGGGGCAGGGGCTTGGGGTGCAGGAGAGGGTGCGGGGTCTTATCACAGGTGGCTCCCGACCGGCAGCACAGCATGGCGCAGGCAGGCTGGCTGCTACCACAGCTCTACACCGCTCCCGGAAACGGCCGGGTGGCATGCCCCTGGTGGGAGGGGGACAGCGTGTCTCCGTGAGCTGCCTGAGCCCACAAGTGCCTCCCCCACAGCTCCCACTGGCCGGTTCCCTGGGAGCAGGGGCAGCACGTGGAGCTGCCTTCCTGCCCCAACCAGGGGCCACAGAGATGTGCCAGCAGCCGGCTGTTTCCAGGAGCAGCGTGAGGCCACGGCATGCAGGCAGCCTGCCTGAGCCCTGCTGCGCCAGGGCCCCCCTTAGCCTGCGGCCCTGGGCTGCAGCCCCTAAAGCCCCTGCATTAATCCAGCCCTGTCTGTAGCAGAGGAACGACTGGCCATCTTACTGCTGAGCAATGGGCTTTTCTAAACCCAGCAAGCTTCTGTTCTCTGTATTCTAGCAATGAAAACCCAGCTCGAGCGTCACAGAGCTGCCTTCATCTCTTCCCATCTATCTGCCTAGGCGCTGGTACGGTCCTCATCACTGCTGTAGTATCTGTGTGACTGAGTATCCAGCGGACGGGGTGAAGGTGAGAGGCCCCGGGTGGAGGTGGGGGCCGGCATTGTCAAGTCCTCACGCTGGGGAAATCCACTGGCCGAGCTGTACGTGAGCAATCACCATGGCAATCACATCCTCCCAGCAGCCACAGCTATGTTAAAACCAGCTCAGGCGTGTCAACCCCTCCGGCTCGCTCAGCCATCTTTGAAAAACTCCTAGCAGATCATGAGAGCAGGTAGACAAATGAGAGGATCTCTGGCTTCCTGGTAAAGGTGCCAGGAAATGGACTAGGACAGGAACATGACCAGCACATTTGGAAATACAGGGACCTGTGAAGTGACTATTCAGCCCTGTGCACTGTATCCCCCAGCCCAGCGCTCTCAGTGAGTGCTTACGGGTCAGCAGTTCTTTCAGAGACAATGGAAACTGCTGCTCCCTCAGCTAGCACCAGCCCAGACCCTGACAGCTCGGCACGGAGCACGGGCTGCGGTGCTGGACAGGCCATTTCCAGGGGCAAATGGTCTCATGTTACTGGGGAGACAACATCCAACCAGGCATTCCCAGGAGCGCTGCCAAGGAACGTCACGTCCCAGCACTATGACCTCAGAGCATGTCTGGGATTCCAGAAACAGCTGCTCTCGATCACACACCTGCATATCAGGCCCAGTGGTTCCTGTATATGTCACTTGCTTCAAGAGGAGCATATTGGCCCAGCAGTGAAAGTGACCCACGCCCCTTCTGTAAAGATGGGCGCTGCAGCGTGCTAACCTGACTGTTCCTCCCCGGGGGTCCCGGGGCTCAGAGCTGCAGAGTTGCTCAGAAAACCTTGGGCTTTCCAGGAGAGCACTACATTAACAAAAATGGTAGGAACTCCAAGCCAACTAACTTCATTCTATGCCACTGCCATGCTGGACAATACTCCACAGTCAGCTGCATGCCTCGCTGGCCAGAGTGGCACTGCATGTAGCCAGGCAGCTCCCATTAGAGTCAGCAGAAAGCTGGGGAGTCACTGAAGCGGACGGGAGACAGCGTGGTGTCCTAGCGCTGTCTAGCAGGCTGAGCCGTCCCCTTCCTGTAACCCCTTTAGGTGGGCTCTGTTTTGCTGAGCCCTTAAAGGGGCAAGGCATTGCTGGTTTCACTAGTTACTTGTATTAAAGAACAGCTACCTACAGAGCCCTGCCCAGCTTTATAGTTTATTTCCAGCTCTGCGTGTCCAGCCGTCCCACCAGCTGTTGGGTGCAGCTCATAGAAACTGAGGGGAGTTAAAGCCAGTGGCTGTGGGCTTTGCAACCAAGGGCTAAGATTGGAACCTTATTCGTAGTGCAAGTGGGCTGGGGGAGGTTCATTCGCTGGACTTGGGTGGGGGGCGCTCTCTACAGCACTCCCTTTTTACCCCTTCAAGATTCTTGCATCACAAAGGGCACGTTTCAGAAGCTCACAGGAAGGAGCAGAGGGGGAGTAAAGCAGCAAGTGCAGACAGGGGTGGCCCGTACCTGTGAAACTGGTGGAGATGTTCACTTCCACGTACTGCGGCTTTGACAAGTCACTGAAATCAGAGACGCCATTGACAGCTGCCACACGGATAGTGTAGTTAACATGTGGTAGCAAGTTCACCAGGGTCACGGTCCTGTCCACCAATCCCGTCTGCTGGGGCACAAAGCCAACGCTGCTGCCACACTGCTCGCATTGCCGCCGGAGAGCCACCGAGCAGCGGTCACACAGGAGGTTATAGGTGACGTCGGTCCGGCCGCCCAAGTCTGCTGGTGCGCTCCATTCCAGAACCAGCGTGGACTGCTTCAGGCTGTAGATGAGGTTCCTTGGAGCAGACGGGGGACCTGCAAGCAGAAGAGTGAGCGTTTCACTGCCTGGGCACTGGGTGCAGCCACCAGCAGCACCAGTGCAGGGCCATCACAGATAACACCACGCTGGCCCTGCACTGGAACGCAGGGGGAATTACAGAATGGCAGAGGCAAAGCTGGATCCAAGAGAGCCTGGCAATGGTAACGCCATCCAGTCACACCAGGGGTCCCGCAGCCTCGCCCACGTGCAATATGTGCTGGAGGTGTCCACACTGAAGCAACGTTGTAAAGAAAGCGATGAGCAAGGCAGCACGGGATTGATGATCAGTCTCCCTGCAGTCTGAGTGTATGTCTACACTGCAGAGGAAGGTGTGCTCTTAACTCAGGTTAGCTAATCTGCATTAGCGGACTCAGGCTAACATAGCAGTGAAGACACAGCAGCTTGTCTTTTAACTTGCATTAGCAGCTTAAATGAAAGCCTGTAGGGAAGCATGGGGTTGAACTCAAGCTGCTAACTGGAGTTAAAAGCCAAGACACCGTAACTTTGCTATTTTAACCCCGATTAAGGACACACCCATTCTTGCAGTGCCCACATACCCTTAGTGTCTGATACCTGCCGACACTTTACACATGCCAGCTACTCACACTGCTCCAAGCTTTGCTGGGTTCCCACCGTGAAATAGCTTAGAGCCAAGCCATCTGGCTCTGCAGAGAGGCCAAGAATAAGACACATCTCACTCGTGCTAGCTGTCAGTCAAACCACGAAGTCTGCTTCTTATTATATAAGCAATTCTAAAGTGCCCATCACCGTAGTATCTATTAATCAAATTTAATTAACTTGATGCCATTTAATTAAAAACGTGTGCCAGGCTAGACTGTGTCTATACAAGCTTGCCCCAGTTTTATTGGGGTAATGCCTGCAGTCCTTACTGGCGTGTTTATAGCCTCAGATTTCAGGCCTTGTAACCTCCGACTATGAGCTCCCTGTGGTAGGGCCTGGCTTTTCCTATCTGTTTGGAAAGCACCTAGCTCCTTGTGGGTGCTACTGAAATACCCAGAATAATGCCCAGTGATGCTAATGCCCAGTGATGCTAATGCCCTGGGACACGGCTACCGAGGGCAAGCGGCTCTGCCTGGGTGCTGGTGGCCTAGGTGCTGGGGCAGCTCCTTGGCCTGCCATGGGCCTGGCCAGCCCCATGCACATGCGGCAGATCTGGCTGGCTCCTCTCTCTCCCTTCCAGTTACCGAACCACGGATGTTGCTTGAGAGAGACGTACGGGTGCAGGAGGCAGATGGCGGGTCTGATGGGGACCGGGAGTAGTTCTTCTGACACGTGCAGAACGTGGAGGCTTCTCGATGTGTGAAGCTGTGCTCGGGGCAAGGAGAGCAGAGAGGGAGTCGGGGGGATAGCTTATAAAATCCAGTAGGGCAAGCTGTGAAGAGACAGACAGACTGTTATGGCAAGCCGAGTTCTGGCAGCGCAAGCAAACAGAGCGGTTGTTAGTGACCAGCCTTTCCCAGTTCCTGAGGCCCCCTTTGCTTTGGGTCTCAGTGTTCAGAAATCTATCTGCAGAGTCAAGGAAAGAGTTGGGCAATTGCCAGATTTTAGAGACAGCAGGTTGGAGAGGCATGAGGAGAGCAATGGGGGGGCAGGAAGGGGGCTCTCAGCAAAGACAAGGAGGAGGGGGCTGCAGGATGAGGCAGACAATGAATAATGCATGGCCCAGGGTTTTACGAGTCAGGAGGGACAGGGAAAGTTCCAGGGATGACACAGACACAGCAGTAGGATTTAGTGACAGTCTGAATGGGAGGGAGGTACTCAGCCCTGGTCTACACTAGGACTTTAGGTCAAATTTAGCAGCGTTAAATAGATGTAAACCTGTACCCGTCCACACGATGAAGCCCTTTATTTCGACTTAAAGGGCTCTTAAAATCGATTTCCGTACTCCACCCCTGACAAGTGGATTAGCGCTTAAATCGGCCTTGCCGGGTCGAATTTGGGGTACTGTGGACACGATTCAACGGTATTGGCCTCCGGGAGCTATCCCAGAGTGCTCCATTGTGACCGCTCTGGACAGCACTCTCAACTCAGCTGCACGATTATTTGCCGTTGCTCTGATGCAGGGAGGGGCAACTGAGGACACGGCTTACAGGGTTGGCTTCAGGGAGCTAAAATCAGCAAAGGGGATGGCTTTACATCAAGGAGTATTTCAGGCAGGACTTCACGGAGGGTTCCAATAAGAAATGGTGCACCTAAGTTATTGTTCTTATTGGAACAAGGAGGTTAGTCTGGCCTCTGATTGATACATGGCTAGATTTACCTTGCTGCACCTTCTCTGTGAGTGACTGCAGTGTGACCTAGAGGAATGAGTCCCCTAGACAGGGGAGGGGGGGAGCAAATGAGTACAAAACAAATCTGGTCTATTTCTTGTTTTGATCCACTCCATCTATCTTTTACATCTTTGGCTGGCAGCAGACGGTGCAGAAGGACTGCATGCCATCCACATCTCATGGCTGCTCGGCAGAAGATGGTACAGTACGACTGCTAGCCATCCTCATCTCTTGCCTGCCCGGCAGAAGATGGTACAGTACGACTGCTAGCAATCCGTATCGCCTGCCTGCTCACCATAAGACGGTTCAATAGGACTGACTGCAGGACTAAAGAGAATGACCTGGTCAAGTCACTCCAAATTTAGTCCCTGCGCCCATGTCTGCCCAGGCGCTCCTGGCTGACGTGGCCAGGAGCACCTCGGACACGACGAGGACGGCTACCAGTCATATTGCACTGTCTGCTGCCAGAAGGCAATGGGTTGCTGCTACTGTGTAGCAATGCAGTACCACGTCTGCCAGCACCCAGGAGACATACGGTGACGGTTACCTGAGCAGGCTCCATGCTTGCCATGGTATGGCGTCTGCACAGGTAACTCAGGAAAAAAAGGCGCGAAACGATTGTCTGCCCTTGCTTTCACGGAGGGAGGGAACGGGGGCCTGACGATATGTACCCAGAACCACCCGCGACAATGTTTTAGCCCCATCAGGCATTGGGATCTCAACCCAGAATTCCAATGGGCAGCAGAGACTGCAGGAACTGTGGGATAGCTACCCACAGTGCAACGCTCTGGAAGTCGACGCTTGCCTCGGTCTGGTGGAAGCGCTCCGCCGAGTTAATGCACTTAATGCACTTAATGCACTTAGAGCATTTTCTGTGGGGACACACACACTCGAATATATAAAACCGATTTCTAAAAAAACGACTTCTATAAATTCGACCTAATTCCATAGTGTAGACATACCCTGAAAAAGGGAAGAGCCAATGATGACAACTAGAGCATTTACACTAAGGCCCCTTCACACTGCCAGAGTGGTGTAAAGAGACTCATTGTAAATGAGAATCAAGTCACAAAGCTGCATGCCTGGGCAAATAGGAGGAGTATGGCTTTATAAACACAGGAGATGGATTGTGGGTGGTGAGGTGGTATAATATAGTCATCGATACTGAATGATAAGAATATAAACTTATCACCTAATAAACTTTACAAACAACTTTTGGTTCCCATGTATTCTCTGTAAATTACCTTTGAGGTTCAACTAAACAAGGAAGTAGTTTCAATGGTGACCCTGAAAGCATTTGGGACGAGAGAAGCCTGAAAACAAATGCGTGAGAGTCATGGAGGGATAAGCCAGACAGACTTGGATATATGCGCTTTCCTGCGCTGCTTATGGAGCAGGAGCGCCAATCGGGACCCCTTTGCTATGTTGGGCAGCTCCTGTGTCTGTTGCGGGAGCTACCTCCAGCTGAGCCAATAGGGGCTGCGATGAGATTGACTCAGCTGGAGTTCAAGCCGAACATGTGAGCAGAACATAACTTTCGGCACCCCGCTTTGCTTGGCTTCTCCTTCCTCTCATTTGTGAGGTGCTGCTGTCTGCTATGCCTGCATCAGCTTCCTGAATATTTAAACTTAATCACTTTTAAACTTCCTAGCTGCACAGTCCCACAAAACACCCCTATCTTATCGTTGTTAAGGAGTTCACTGCTGAGATTGTTCCTTTTACAAGAGATTATTCCAGGGCACTCCATGGAGTTCATTAATTTTTTACTGTGATAGAATACTGGCAGCTACAATTGTAATCTTAGGACAAAGTACCAGAGATACAGCATCAGCTGTGGATGACATTTATTCATAGGGCAATGGAATGCTCAGGCAACACGTAAAGTGAAAGGCAGATTTTCATCTATTGCGAAGTATTTTTAGAATTCACATCGCCCTGGAAGTCAAATCAAAGTGGGGCATGAAACATCTTATTAATCCTTCCTATTCCTTGAGAGCAAAGTTCAGCTGACCATTCTCTGTGCTGCCTGGAGTCTGGCACAGGTATGGATTGCTGGCTGGCAGAGTTGTGGTCTAACACGCAACTGAGAGAAATTTTTCTTTTTTAAATGTTACATAAACAGCCTTTCAGGAATTGCCCCAAACCCACATTTTTAAGTCCTGATCCCTGCAATGTCCTGTCTCAGTTCTAGGTACATGTGCACCCAGGGAAGAGGAGAAGCATGCTCAGTAGCCATAGACTTTCAGTGTCGAATCAGAGCACATGTCCGTGAGACCTCCTCCAAGAGTGCTTTACCCAATACCAGCCAAGCAAACCAAGAGCATCAGGGGAAAGAATGGAGCAGACTTTGCCAACAAGCTTCCCCAAATGTGTCCAGTAACAACAACAAAATGCTGTCACAGCTTAGACTGCAAGTCCTGCTCAGCACGGGAGAGACTTCCAGCTCTGCGCTTTCCCAAGACTAATGTGCCACGTTCCCAGAGGTCTGTAACTCTTCTTTTTCGCGCGGTAAGAGACATCTTCTCTTAAGCTGCTGGCAGAAACGGAAGCATTGCATACAGTCAGTATTGCAGGCGCTGCAATGAGCTGCTGCCCGTTCTCAGCTCTGTACAGCAGAGGAGCTTTGCTGCAGTGGGTACCGATAGCATCTTGTGCAGTGTTCAACCTTAAAATGAGGATTGTTTCCCTATTTGTAAAAGGACAGTGAATCCGCTCTTCTCTCTGAAAACCCAAATTAAATAGGATTCTTGCACAACGTTACAGCCATGCAAAAAACTAACAACTGCCTGGCCGTTGTCAACACTACTTCTGTATGGGATGCAAGCCAAGTCTCCTAAGCCTGGTCAGGTCAGAATTCTCGGAAGCAAAAATAGAGCGATCGGGAGAAATCTTGTCACTGAAGCAGCTGATCTCTCCTTGTCAGCCTTCCTGGCACTCACCAGAATGCTGGGGAAGCTGCAGGATGATGCACTGAAATAGGGAACCAGGGTCTGCAGCATGCAGTTGCCTACAACTGCCTCCCCAGATCTCCATGCCTTGCCCAAGTCATAACTAACCACAGGCCCTTAATCATGGTGAGGAAGCCAAACTAGGACTCAGAGAATACAAATATTGGTGTCCTTTGGATCCTGCTCTTATTCTCTTAGCTTGGGTCCATTTAAGAGAGCACAATAGTGTATATTTTTGGCAGTCTTTGTTTTAAGCAAACCTTGCAAAAAGCTCAAGCCCGGCGTTTTCCCCTCTACCAGATTTGTCCCTTCCTGTTTGTTCACTTCTTGCTGCAAGAGAATGGTGCTCAATTTGCAAGGAGGCAACGTTCCTGTGGGATTTGCCATGATGATGAAGAATTTCCTTGAATGTCCCCTTGTTGTGTTAGGGAGAACAAAATCCCTCAGTCTCCTATCTACTCCAGACCATTCGATATGCCATAGACTTTTCTCACATCCCCTCTTGTCTCCTTTCTAAGGAAAACCACCCCAAACTTTTCAATGTCTCTTTCTAGAAGAATTTTTCCAGGCCTCCTAACCATTTCTGGAATGCTTCTCCAATCTTCTCCCATGCCCCAAATTCTGCCCTATCCTTTCGGAAAGGGGGGGGACTAATGATGCACAAAGTATTTCACATGAGGACACACCATTGATTTACATAATGGCACCCCAATTTTTATTGTCATCTGCACCCCACTCCTGGGCCTCCAGGTGCTTCCACAATATAAATGTTAAATAATGGTAATGACCCAAAAATGTAGCATTCTATGACCAAACTTGTGGTGCCAAGCACACCAAACTGCCTGCCTCCCTCCTAGTCCCATCACTGATGCTCATGCAAGCAACCTCGCTTACCATGCATTCTTTACAGCAAGTGCACTTGTTCCCATCTTGTTAAAACACTGTGTGCGCTCAAAATAGTAGCAAAACAAGCATCATTGATTTGTGCTGTAGGTTGGCAGATAGATAACCTGGCAGATGCACCCGTGGGAAGGTTCACTCTTACATACACAGCTGCTGCATTTCAGTGGAGGGAGGAGTGGAGACGGTTCTATCGAAGGAAGAAAGTGACATCAACTTTCATGCCTGACCTTTTCTGGAAGGAGAGCAGGTGC